AGAGAAAATAGACAACTATGGACTGCATCTTCGTTTCTCTTGTACTGCTTTAACTTCAAATAAATCATTACTGATTTTACAATTTGAAAGATTGAGTCGCATCTAAATTTTTCAATGTTTTAATCTGATGATAAAGAACATTTTTACATGGTTTTATGACTAGAATGTCATCAGTCATCCTTCCAATAGCTGTTTTATGAAACCAAGATGCGTGTAAACCTATATATTTATAGAATGCACTCAAACACGGGAAACCGTTGCGGCAAATCGGCCTTCTTGGCCGAGGACCATCCGAGGGGGACTAAGACATTTGAGTTCAACAGACTCATCAGGAATATCTTGGGCCTTCGCTTCCATGTCCGTCACCGCCACTAGAGGTGTGAAAGGGAACAAGGCGACATAATGATGATCCCAATACCCAGATGCGAGCGGGTGCCGACGATGACGACTTCCTGAAGACATTCGCTTCTTATCTGTTAAGTTTGTCTAAATCTTTGCTGATTTCATAATTTCCAAAATTAGACAGTACCAATGAGTTGTTAACCAAATGGCCAATGTTGTAACCTGACGGCAAAACATTTTCACAGTTTTATGAAAAGAACGATGTTGATCCTGCTTTCAATAAACCGGTGACACGAACTTGTATTTGCTGATTAAACAAAGGGATATAACTTTGCATTCAACTTAACAGATTTACCAGTTTTCTGACCCAAAACTTTAATATACTTAGTGTTGCATTATTGGGAACAACAAAGAAGCGGATGTAACCGCTCAAACAATTTATATCTACCTGGAGGCGCTGTTTTCAGGTTATCGAGGGCAATAATGTGATATACAGTTTCTTTTACCATTCCATCCCAAACAATTTAATAAACCCACTAAGACAAAAGGGGTTTCTGAGTGTGAATGAAAACGAAAAAGAGAAATAACAAGGAAAGAGAACAGCAGGAGAAAATTAATCAAGGAGACAGTAGATAACGATTGACATTAAATTTAATTGTTTGAATATCAATTTTGGCTAGAAAGCATGAATCTGTCAGAGTGTTCCACAATCGAAACGGGAGAGAGAGGAATCTATTAGCAGGGAAATTACGGTTGCATCTGGCCAACTCAACTGTAAATTGATGAGATCTTGTTACCAATCTCGTACAGGGCTTAAAATCATAAAGTCTTGGTACCGTAACTGAAAATTCATTAGAACAATTACCAAAAAATATATATATTTATAGAAAATGACACACAGAACCTACATTAGGTCGGCGCGAAGTTGACTGAAGCGAAGTCAGGACCATTAATTTGCTGATTCTTCTTTGGATTTTATCAAGAATCTCTAAATATATGGCAGGAGCATCGGTCCATATATGGGAGCAATATTCAAATCTTGGATGAATGGGAGACTTATAAAACACAAAGGGTTCTATCAGATGATTAAAAAAGAGTAGTTTCGTATTGAACTCACACTCTTTGGCCCCCGTCACTGGATCTAATTAATTCCATTATCCACTGTGCCATGTGTCCTGGTTAAGGCGGTGAAGAACTTGGAGAGGAAATTAAACAGAAGATAACTGATAACTGACATCCATTAGACATGGCATGTGGAACTAGAACAGTCTACCTTAGTCAGCGGAATAAAGGGTTCAGTTCGACATTCCAACCACCTGAAGAAGGCCGGAGCGTACAACGGCCGAGACGTTGTAATAAATATGGCAACAAAGATGAGGACAGTAGTCCGAATAATGTAAATAGTGCTGTGCTATAAGACTTTCAATGATCAACGCAATGGAAATCCATTGCTGCGATACTGAACCGAAACTTAATCTTTAAACTCGTTTCCTCCAAAAAAAAACGATAAGGATTTGAAAAATTATTTTGTGTTTTATTATGTCAAACGCCAACTTTCAAATTCAGTGCAATCATGACTCGCTACAAATTCTTATCTTTTATAGATCGAAGTAATATTTATTACTTTACTATGATTCTAAGAACACTATTTGTTTCCAGAAGATGTCCTAGGCTATCTTGCTGGTGTTCCCATGTCAACCCTGACCTGGAGTGGTAACACCAGCCAGGGCCCGAGATATGGGCAAAAGGTTAACCCCACACACACAAAAAGGTGTCAAAATACTATGAAAGTATTAAAATAGGTTTTATTACCAGCAATACATTTTGGAAGCATTATATTTTTAGAAAAGAATTATTACCAGCAACACATATTTCGGGAAAAAATTACTACCAGTTATATATTCTTGGAAAAAAATATGATTACAAGTAATAAAAATCTTGTTGGTATTAAATAAACTATTGAGATTGGAATGCCGTAAAGCAAAACAAACCAAAGCATCAAAGTTTTCTTGCCATCCAAGTCTATAGGACCCTGTCGCTGCTGGAGTGCGGAGGAAGAGATGGATTACTTCCTTTCTGTTATGGTCCGGTTCCTTGTACCACGGTGATAGTCCAAGGTAGAACCAATAAAGAAGAACTCGAACACAGGTATGGAATAACACAGATATATTACAAACAGGAATATATACAGAGAAGTAGAAGTGTTAGTATGAACAATCAGGTTTAGTAGAGAGAACAATGTAGTCTCGACCAGTGTCACTATTCCAATGTCTTGCAGTAACTGTCTGAACGCGACTCTGTTTCAGACTGCCTCTGACTCGACTCATGACTCGACTTGAACTACTGACTTAAACTACTGACTGAGGTGCAGTTTTTCTGGGAAGGATATAATCTACGAATTTGGTTTATTCGCCTGTGCCTAATTTTCTTAGTAATAGGCGTACTTTACGTGCGTCTGACCAATCTTTGCAGTTAACATTATATAGATCTTCGTGCCTTCGGAAGTAATTTGCAAAAGTTTTATCTTCGTCGGGTGCGTACTTGAAATCTTCGATATTACTCCAAATAGCGTCTTGTGAGAGAACTGTTTCGTTCTCGGATTTTTGCTCCGTATTTGCCATTGCACGTAACAATAATTCTTGTAATTCCAGATGTTTCTCTTCGTACCTTTGTTGCTGTTCAAATTGGATTTTGATAAGTTCCATAATGGTTGACTTAAAATCTTCCATGTTAACGTATTTTTTGTGTAACCTGATATTCTGTAGACTGTGCACGCAACAACAAAAAAACTATCCTTTGTTGTCAGTGAATATTTGATATAAAAAAAAAAAAAATTCTTTTTTTTTTAATTAGTTTCGTATTACCCTTTTAGGGTTTCCTCGTTGCCACTTGTTATGCGCGACGGATAGCAAAAAAAAGGTTTGTCCTCCGCGTAGATTGTTGGTTTCCTCGTCGCCACTTGTTATACTGTGGCGAACGATTTTTTTTTCTTCCACCGAATGAATTCGAATCTTCGTCGCCACTTGTTATGGTCCAGTTCCTTGTACCGCGGTGATTGTCCAAGGTAGAACCAAAAAAGAAGAACTCATACACAGGAATGGACTAACACAGATATATTACAAACAGGAATATATACAGAGAAGTAGAAGTGTTAGTATGAACAATCACGTTTAGTAGAGAGAACAATGTAGTCTCGACCAGTATCACTATTCCAATGTCTTGCAATAATTGTCTGAACGTGACTCTGTTTCGAACTGCCTCTGACTCGACTCTTGACTCAACTTGAACCTGTGGTGTGTAACTCAACAATTCAACTGATGATAGCAGGTAGGCACAAAGAAAACCGGTGTCGCATGTCCAACCTTCTCACGAGCCGAAAACCCTCTCATTTGAAACAGCAGAAACGAGCCTGCTTTATACAGCTGCGGACCGACCACGATTTGCATGCGAATCACGAGGCAACGAGATTTCACGTTAACTGACCGAGACCGCTCGGCATAAAACGCGGGCGCCGCCATTTTGGTTTTCTTTTTTACAGTTGGAAGGACCAGAGTTTACATACTGCGCAGATTCGAACGCGTTTCCGAGGTAGGCCATTTTCACAATTTTCCCCACAGAACCACTGACTCGACTTGAACTACTGACTCTACTGACTACTTGCCTACTCCTGATGCGAAGTATTTATTAAGTATGGAATAGTCCATTATTATTATTATTATGGGTAAGATCCCATAACACTTTCACAAGAGTATTAACACGTAAGTGAATGTAATGTACTCAACTGGATTCCTCAGTTCGAGCCGCTAACCATTATTCCACCGTGCCCCCTGTCTCACCATTACGCGGGAGGTATTTTGGGGACGAATAAGCGGGAGGTATTTCTGCCAGACCCTGTGCATACATGTAAGACTAGCGTTTAACAGCTTATTTTTTCTCTTGGTAGACACAGGAAACAAAAGGCTTTTTTTGCCTATTTTTTTTTTTTTTTTAGTTAGTCTTAAGTTTCTTTTTCTGCAACAACCATGACAAAAGAAGAAAAATTTAAAGCGATGGGATGTGGTTCGAATGACGGATGTTGACAATACCATGAAGAGATCATGTCACGCACAAGGAAGCTAGAAGAATAGGAAATACAAAGAAATTGTTGCTAACTACGAGAATGATAGCCGAATGTTTTGAATAATAATGAGAAGAAAAAAAGATTGACTAGGGAATTCAATACTGACAGCATATATTAAAGGCAAGAGATGCGAAGAAAACCAATGTTTGAAAAATAGGAAAAAAAAGACTTTATTAACGACACCTTTTGCGAGATCGGCAATAGGCAGAAGGCTGTGGATAATCATCATTCGTGAGATCGTGGACAATAGAGAGCAAGAAAGATAGAGAACGAGAGGGAAGTTAATAAAAGAGAGAGTTAATAAGAATGAGAATGAGTGAAAGGGAAAAAGGAACAGAGAATAAACGTGAAAAAGAATAATAGAAAGATTAAATGAGAAAATATGAGGGAATAAAAAAGAGAGAATGGGAGATATGACAGAGTGAGGTCGAATTAAGGAAGATAAGGACAGAAGATAGAAAATAAGAAGGAGGGTATACGAAATAGCAAAGAAAGAGAGAAAATAAGAGCGAAATAGATGAGAATAACGGGAAGAGAATTAGAGAGAAGAGAAAACGAGGATAAGACGCCGAGAATAAAAGAGAAAAAGAGAGAGAAAATAACAGACAGCGAAAAAAAGGAGATTTGAATTAAGAAAATACAAGACAGATGAGAAACAGCGAATATTGAATAAGGCAAAGATAATAAGAGGGTGGGTCGATAGAGAGAGAGAGAGAGAGAGAGAGAGAGAGAACAGGAAACAACAAATAAAAGAGTGAATAAAAGAAAGAGACGCGAGATTCAAATACAGTGAATGAAAAAGAAGAATCGATAATAAAGGAAAGATAAGATTAAGGAATAGAGAACAAGATGACATGAGAGAGAGGGAATTATAGAGAGATAGAATAATGAAGAGAGAAAGTAGGTGATAGATTAAATGAAGAAGAGAGAGTGGGGAAAATACAGGAATTATAGAATAAGAGAATAAAAAAAAGAAGGCAAGAAATCGCTAGGAAGATAGAGAAAGTGTGTATAAGATAGAAAGCGAGCAAATAACAGAATAGGAATGAAAGCGGAAATACGAGAGAGAACGAAAGAATAAGAAAATAAAGGAAACTTCTTTTTTTTTTTTACTATTTTTCGCCAAATACACGCCCCGTCTCACTCAAATTAAAGGATTACTGAATGAGATTGATTGAGAGAGTAAGAAGTGTTGATAGGTTGTATAGATAACGGATCATCTCAGAAAAGGGTAACATTGTAGTTATAGAGGAAGCATCCATTCAAGAGTCACTTCCACAAAGCAGCAGCGATTGGGAGAAGTATCAATGAAATACAAACGGAAAGAAGATGGGTCGATATTGTGCACCCTGAGATAAATAGAGAAAGATGAATAAAAAGTGAGTCGATGAATAAGAGAGAGAAAAAGATAGTAACTGGAACTGAAAAAAAAAAAAGAAAAACTTCCTTAAGTGAATTAAAAGCATGTGCAGGTAGCGTAATGGTTATCAGCTAAGAAAACGAAATTGACCAGATGAGACCAAAATTCTGTCCTCGTCGGTTGCATTCACTTTCGCTCCTAATCAATTTCTTCCCCCTCCCTAGTAGGTCAAATAGCTACCTAGATGAGGATCTATGACTTTCTGGCGGGGGGAGGGGTAAATAGTCTAAGAGAAGACCGACATTTTAAAGGAAACTATTTATTTACTTCGCCAAAAAAAAAATCTCCCCCCCAAAAAAAAACAAAAAAAAAACATGTTTTTTATAGCTAATAACTAAAATTAAAGACGTGTTTTCCAATGTCATGGTTATCAAGAACATGCTGAATCGAAAATGAAGTATGTCGCCTCTATATAACCAAAACCTATCTTTTAAAAAGCATACTATTTTGGCTTTTGAGATATTTAAATTTGCAAACTAGTTTCTACGTCCTTTGGGCTGTTAGGTCTAGTCTAGATGAAAAATAAGCACCAGCTATCGAAAATTTTAGAGGTGGCGCCATTTGCTTATATATACTTTAATTATCTGAAAAGGATCATCATCAGATTTTTAATATAAAGCAGAAAGAGCGTTGGTCTGAGCTTTGTGGCATGCCTGCCTTGATTTTATGAGTTTCAGTCATTTGACCATTGACAACGACATTCAACGACCTACCCGAAAGAAGGACTATGTTTGCTAGAATCCTCACAGAGATTCCATAATGTACGATAATAATGAGATATAAAGATAGCTGAAAAGATTTAATAAAAGAAACATGGAATTAATTACAATCGGACTAATTTCTTTATTTTGCCTTCATTTTACCACCGGAAAGGAAAGAGGGACGGCGACGAAGGAAGTTAAGCTTGACGGAAAGACTGTTGCTGAAGCAAAAGAGACATTAGAAAATTAGCTTGAAAGTTATAGCTTCAGGATTGTTCCACGCGTCCAGAGAAGTAAAACATCAGGGAATTAAGTGGTATAATAATTGTCAGTTTAATCCTGGTGTTTGATTGTACGCTTATATTCAGTCACAGTGGAACGGGGAACAGTAATAACTGAACAAGATGAGAATATCCCTAGAAATGGGCGGCGGAATGAGAAAGACCTACACCTTACACTGAATAAACAGTTTAGTTCAAATTACCTGAAGATTAATCGGATCGATAAACACCTGAATATGGCCGTAAGTCACGACGAAACTATGTGACAATAATAAAGAGACTGAATCTATTCGGCCGACTGTTTTAATTAAATAATGAAAAGTCGCCCTCCTCCTGAAAATCTAGACAGAAATAGATAAATTGTTACAACCGAGATAAAGTAGACATAGACTCGCATTTAAATAATGTAGACATTGTCTCACAAAAGCAGACATTGGCTCACAAATGTAGACATTGGCTCACAAATGTGACATTGGCTCCCATTTAAATGAATTAGATATTAGGTCACATTTAAATAAAGTAGACATTTGTTCACATTTAAATAAAGTAGGCATTTCTTCACATTTGAATAAATTTGGTTGCATTTAAATAAAGTAGACATAAACTCATATTTAAATAATGTAGACATTGGCTCACAAAAGTAGACATTGGCTCCCATTAAAATAAAGTAGATATTTGGCCACATCTAAATAAAGTAGACATTTGTTCACATTTAAATAAATTAGATATTAGGTCACATTTAAATAAAGTAGACATTTGTTCATATTTAAATAAAGTAGACATTGGGTCACATTTAGATGACTGAGACATTGGTTAACATTTAAATAAAGACATTTGGTTGCATTTAAATAAAGTAGACATTCACTCACGTTTAAATAAAGTAGATATTTAGTCACATTTAAATAAAGCTGACATTAGGCTATATTTAAATAAAGAGGACATTGGGTCACATTTAAATTTACTGACCTAATAGTGAAAAACCATCGCTCTTTCAGCGGGAAATTTTGAATTCAGAAAAGCTTCATTTTACAAATACGTTCAATGACCTGAGTAGGTTTTGTCTATAAAAACAAATGTCAGTTACCAAGACCTGTAAATCAATAAAAGTTTTAAAAAGTTGTCGATAAATATTCCATTTGTCCCAGACTGGTCACTAAAACTCCACTTGATTTTCACCCGTTAAAATTCACATTTCATCCCACTCCTATCCACTGAACTTTTTCGTCCGACGAACGTCCTCTCCGCTCCACGAACCGACCACATACACTAATCGTAAACTGGTCGAACTCTCTGTCACTGGACGAAATTGATGATTTTCGAATTTTCCCGAGAGAAATTTCAACTCGTAACGAAGACCCGGCGGCTTGACACGTGTTGTCTTCTTCATCATTGATTTATGGCGCAAAATGTTATCTTGTTATGATAATTATATGTGGTTGAATGAATGAGACACAATAAAATATGGTCAGGGCTTGGCCAGACACATTGCATATCCGGAAAGTAATCGAGACCAATTCGGTTCACGCTTCATTGCTTTCTCTATGGACAGGAGACGAGGTTATCATCCCTTAAAATACAATCTGCATTAATACAAACATACATACATACATACATACATATATATATATATAAATATGTGTGTGTGTGTGTGTGTGTGTGTGTGTGTGTGTGCATAAAAACGCACACACTCATACATACACAAGCAAGCACATATATATGTGTGTGTCTGAGTGTTTGTGCTTGTGCGTTTATGAGTGTGTATGCGTGTTTATGTGTATATATATATGCGTGTGTGTGTGTGTGCTTGTGTGTGTATGCGTATATGCGTGTTGATATATATATATATATATATATATATATATATATATATATATATATATATATATATATATATATATATATATATATATATATTTATCTGAGGAGTAATGGATAGCGGCTTGGATTGAGGAATCGCTGAGCCGAGTTCGAATTCAGTCGAATCCATTACATTCACTTACGTGCTAATACGTGTGAATCCTCTTCTTCTATCTCCAGCTATGGGTAAATAGCAGGACAGACTGTTTTCTATAGCCTTGAATGGCAACTGGTCTAGGAGAAGGACAACTCAGAGTTCAAAACCTGCGGAGGGTCATTTAGGGACCTTGTGGCACGTAGTGCACCAGATCTCTGTATTCGTCCCTTCAAAAAGTGTGGATGGTCCTGCACGAAGCCTTCACCACTATAATCAAATCTCATGTTCCGTTGTCGGGCTGTCTGTTTCCTGTAAACTTATCTGCTTTCGACGGGAGAGTCGACTATATATATATATATATATATATAAACACGCATACATACTCATACACACACACACACGCACAGACACACGCTCGTGCATACGTCACACACACACACACACATGTATATATATATATATATATATATATATATATATATATATATATATATATATATATATATGCGTTTATCTTTTACTTATTTTGTTTAATTATTTCACACCAAGCAAGGTGGGAATGCCAACAGTGCGCAGAGGGTTACAGAGAGTCAAGGTGAAAGAAATGAGGGTGTGTAGGGTGGACCGAGTAAAGGATAAAAAACTGAAGTTCAAGTACGTAGAAGATGGCAATTGAATTTAAATTTTTGAAGATGCAGATATCAGGGAAGAAAGTAAACAGAAAAGAAACCTTCTGGCACAACAGAGTGATCCAAATTTCCTTGCAGTAGATGCAGCTATTGATTCAATCAAGTCAGTTGAAAACGTGAGGTGAAGAAGTTTCTCTCCATGAGTCTAGCATCAGCCATGCTTGTGGTTAGAAGGAAATGTTCTCTATGGTGAGTAAATGTTTGTTTTGGAGGCATTAAAATTTACAAGCCATTTCCTGCCCCTGTTAACCACTGATTGGAGGTCCTTTTTAAGAGCCATAGCCAGGTTAACATTGTCAACTCTAACGGATTTGCTCTTGAGACAGGAGCAAATGCTAATGTTATCAGCATAAATGCCTACTTGAGAACTGATGATATCGGGACGATGATTGATGTGTAGGACCCAGGATAGAGCCTTAGCAGACACCCGCGTTTGTGTGTAAGGATCTGGAAGTGAGCCCGTTCAAATCGACCTTCCTTTCATGATTTGATAGGAATGATTGGATTAAATAAAACAAATGTCCAGTAATACCGTAAGTCTGGATCTTACGTAGAAATCAGCGTGCCAAACCCTGTAAAATGCTTTTGAGATATCGACAGACAGAACTCAAGTTTCGCCGTTATTATCAAGATCTTGATGTATATATTCAGTGATGACCGTTAGTACATCAGCAGTAGAACTGGCAAAACGGAAGCCATATTGTTTGTCAGAGAGTATGTCGTGAGAGTTAAGATGCTTAGAAAAGCAGGAATCAGCGAAGCAAAAGTTGTATAGTTTGGAGAGAACTGGAGTCGGAATGGGACCACCTTTCTTTAGGACGACGACAGGTATCCCATTACTTCCGCTTGCCTTATTAGAGTCATTTAGAAATAATGTTCGATAGCTGTGACGGAGTTATGCTTATAAGTAGAGCCTCTCTTCTACGCGGGAAAACAGGCTTGGGTGCTCCAATTGAGTTGAGTGTTGAGTTCCAAGCAAAACATACAACCTTATCTGCTTTAGATGCCATGACTTCGAATTGATTGATATAAAGAAGGTATTGAAAAATCTGCTTTTGTTCAGCACACACTTGCAGAGCCGTCAATAAAGTTTCAAACAGTGCCAGAATTTTTTTCTTGTCATAGTCCATCTTCACATTTACAACCCTACCATTCGCCCATTCATTGAATACTGTCGCCATATTAGTTCTGCTGCGCCTGCTACTCATCTCTTGGTTCTTGAAAAGATCCAAAGAAGGGTCTGAAATGTAATCGATCCTGACTTCGCAACTCAACTTCAGTCACTTTCACACCGACGGGGCGTGGTTTCTTTCTGTCTTTTCTACAGATATTTACAGGGCAACTACTCTGACGAAATTTTTTTCCTGGTCCCCGGACTATGTGATTTTAAGCCGGCTACAAGATTGGCATCTAGGTCCTACCCTTTTACTGTTGAATTAGATAAATGTAATCAACACTCCAACAGTTTCATTTCTCGCACTTCCAACCTGTGGAACTCCTTTCCGTTTCCTTGCTTCCGTGATATCTACAATCTTCAAAAATGTAAATGCAACGTCAATCGGCATCTTTTGTCTTTTTGAACATCGTTCAAATTTTTATCATTTCATCGCCCCACCCCCTATACCCAGACTTTTCTATCACTTTCACTCGCTGCTTATATCCTCCTCTAAGTAGCGGATATTCATCAGGATGATAATATGATTGGGTCTACATTTCAGCTTTGTTACCAAAAGAATGAGATTTATCCAGTAATCAATAAGGCTATATTATTGTCATAGGCATTCAATTAGAGTAAATGCAATATCTATCTATCTATCTAAATGCACTATATAAATGTTGTATTTATATGAATGCACTATCTATTAATCTATGTAAATTCACTCTCTATCTATCTATCTAAATGCACTATCTAAATGCTCTATTTATATAAATGCACTATCTAATGCACTATCTAAATGCACTATCTAAATGCACTATCTATCTATCTGAATGCACTATCTAAATGCTCTATTTATATAAATACACTACCTTTTAATGTATGTAAATGCACTAAATCTACTATCTAAATGCACTATCTATCTATCTATCTATCTATCTATCTATCTATCTATCTAAATGCACTATCTAAATGCTCTATTTATACAAATGCACTATCTAAATACACTAAATCCACTATCTATCTATCTAAATGAAATATCTAATTGAACTATGTAATTATCATTCTGTCTATCTAATTATGCCTTTCTATCTATCTATCTATCTATCTATCTATCTATCTATAAATCTATTTAAACGTTCTCAAAAGAACATTTAAATCCACTATCTAAATGCACTATCTATCTGAATGCACTATCTAAATGCTCTATTTATATAAATGCACTATCTATTAATCTATGTAAATGCACTATCTAAATCTACTATCTAAATGCACTATCTATCTATCTATCTATCTATCTATATATATATATATATATATATATATATATATATATATAAATGACGTATCTAATTGAACTATATAATTATCATTCTATCTATCTAGTTATGTCTTTCTATCTATCTATCAATCTATTTAAACGTTCTCAAAAGAACATTTCTGATAACTTCTTTCTAACCTTTTCTGTCATCCATATTTTTACGCAATCACTTTCTGATTCAAGTGTCATCTAGCAGTTGAACAATGAAAGATCTTTTTTGTTTACCTCTTGAAACTTTTCTCATATTTTGATCCTATAGTATAGGTTGAGGGAGAACTTGTTTACATCTCCGACAATGGCCACTGAACAGCATTTGTCTTTCACAAACTGAGTCCACAATCTTTGGTAGATTACAATAAAGTTTTCATTCGATAGATCTTGTTTTCAGCTAAAATGTAGCGCTGTTTTCAATAGTCGAGCGTGCGTATCACGTGTAGATATATATATATATATATATATATATATATATATATATATATATCCTACACACAATGCGAAGTGTGTATATATATATATATATATATATATATATATATATATATATATATATATATATATATATATACTAATTCATAATATAAAACAATATATGTGTATAGAGAAGGAATATATATATATCTATACTCATACTAGAAAAACACATACAATACACAAAAATGGAGTTAGCTTTAAAAAGATACAGAGGTCAAAAAAAGATAAAAACAAAGACCTCCTTTGTTTGCCATTTCTCTGACTAATCCTAATTGTTTTATTACACTTTAAGCAGAAGAATATTTTCTCCACAAGTCAAAGAAAATTTTGATTACGTCTACACACAAAAACACCTCAGTTCCTAGAATCCGACAGCGAGACAACCTGCACATATGATTTAATTATGGTGGTGATGATTTGTGCAAACAAACCGCTTTTTGTATATATATATATATATATATATATATATATATATATATATATATATATATATATATATATATGTCAAAAATTTTAAGACCGCTTCTACTATTGATCAAATATTATACATTTACATTTATATTTTGGATGTTATTCATTTTTGCCGTCCATGTATTTGCAAAATCGAAAATCTATATATTCTTGTGAAAATTTAACCAGGACCATTTAACCAAGATAATAAAATGGGTTCGCTAACTATGAAGGATTTAACAAAAAAAATATCCATGTGATTGATAATACTGTGGGGTAATAGTTCGAGCCGAACTAAAAAAGCAATTTTTCAAATTGTTCCGAACGGTGTATTCTAGACAGAGTTATT